CAGATAAGCTAATGCAATCTAAAAAGTATGTAGGATAGCTCAGTTTCTGTGTATGTTATAGATATATAACATATAATGTATGCTCTGTGCAAAAACCCACCTTTTTTTCTATCTCAGCTAAACAAAACTCTGTTACAAAAGAATTTTAAATCCACCAACTGTGCAACGTAGTGATTTATTTTTTCCCTAGATCATCCCAGTAGAAACATCCAGTGTACGTGTTGCCACAGAGAACAGCAGCATCTGCCATTAATGCATTCTTTACGTTTAAGGGACTGTTTAAGACTTTTACAGAGAAAACAGATGTGGAAATAAGGGCTAAATGGGTTTACACGGTGTTAATCACCTGCTACGTGCAGTGATAAATCCCAGATTCCTCAGGAAAAAATGGACCCTATTCAGCTCAAATAATTGTAGCAACTTGGAATTTTCTTACCGTGAGCATTACCCAAAGTAGTAATTTCATTAAAAGCATTGTCAGTCCTCAAAATTCTTTGATATCAAGTGTTCATTTTATAGAAAAACAGTGCATCTGCGAGTCATGAAATCTTTTTGATGACCGAAAGAGAGCACTTAAGCATTTAAATCCTTTTCTTCATCTTTAAACTCATGGTTTTCTGTATTATCTTACCCCGTACCATACTTAGAATGTGAATGTCTGTGCAGTCTGCCCAATACCTCCAAAAAAAGGCTGCTTACACAGTGGTTTCTTCCAGCACACTTCCAGTGACATGCTGTATTGATTCGAATGCTCTGCAGTAAATACGGTATTTTATATATTGAGAATCCCTTTGTATCCTGCATGTCCTCCACATTCAAAATATGGATGTGTTAAAGGCTGCAGTGGGATTGAAATGCTCTGTGTATATGCAGTGGTCAACCCAAAATTATGGAGTAAATCAGAATCTATTTCAGCCCAAAGCATGGGACACCCCCCCTGTTTTATCCCTTTGTGTTACAGTGAAGTTCTGAGGTTGCACATCTGAAACTGCAGATCCACCGTTTTTGATGATGACTGGTCCACCACTGCACCGCACCTGGTATTCCTGAGGTAAGTTTATCACCTGTGAATCTGTACTTCTGTTAGCAGCCGATGTGCATTGCAGTGGATGCATTTTAGAGCCATCATGTCTGGTTAACAGCGCTAAATATAGTTGCCACTGGAATATGCAGGGCACAGCAAACTGGTTTTATTACATAACTATGAATTTGTTTGCAGCTGGGTCCTAGCTGGGCAAAACAGATGCTGTAGTCCTGTAAAAGGATTAAACTGTCTGGGTCATATGCCCAGCATTTTGCTAAATATTTGATGTAGCTTCATCTGGCACACATTTTGTTATATTATTACTGTTAGAAAACAGTAGTTATAAATAAGAAGCCATTTTTTCTTGCTGCTTTGAACTTGGAGCAATTATGTTAATAGTAACGGCAGCATGTTAAGCTTCATATTTGTCATTAAGTGAAAGCCAAAACAATTACCTGCGCAATGGCTGCTGTCTTTCCTGAGAAGGGTCCTTCTCAGCAGCAGTTGACATTTGAAGGACCCCAATAATGCATGTTCTGAGAATCTGCAGTGAATTGGCTGATGGCAGATTTTCCTGTGCACTGAAGAGTACTTGAACTGGAAAGCCAAATGCCGGGTTAATCACAGATAAAAATAGCAAGCAGCTCACTTCTCTTTGCAAAATCAGGAATACTCTAAATTATTTTTTGTGTGTGAAGCTGAGTTTTCTCCAGATTAAAGCCACGAGTTATGTAACCCATAAAGGGGACTCTCAGATCAAGTTATTTTGGTGGGTTTTCATACTGTAACAGAAAAGAACTGCAATTAAAACTTGAAGATGAGGACAACTTTTACTACAGAAAATCTGCAATGGGAAATATTCTTTAAAGAAAATAGGACACTTAAGTACGTCCTAGAACCTCATCTAATCTGAAGCTACATCATTTCTCTCCTGTATGAAGTACCTGAGTGCATTAACTTCTTGGACTCAGATGTCTTGTTAGTTGTCTATGTACCATATACAGTCCTGTGGCCTCTAAAACCATTACTTTGAATGTCTTGTAATCATTAATACATTCATTCTCCCAACACAGCGGAGAAGCATTGTCCCTAATTTTAAGATTCTGAACAGAAAGAATATAGAATTGCCTTGGGAATCTATTACAAAATAGAAGCAGCCAGCAAATTTAACACAAAAAGTACTTGGTTTATCATCTTATTTCGAGTACTGACAAGTGAAAGTATTTGGATGAATAGGGAAGCATACCTAAAAGAATATTCTGCCTGTGCACAACATAGTAAGTCAGAGAAGAAGCAGTCTTAGAAGTTAATGTGACTTTATTTGAACAGGATACAATCATCTAGAAAACAAGCTAAGTGTTTATCTAAGCACTGACAGATGCAAGAAATACCACAGGTATTACTGGAGAAGCAGTAGTTCCCGTTTTTACTGGAGAAGCAGTAGTTCCATTATCTCTTAAACTACTTAGAGTAACAAAACACATTACAGTTTATTAGGACAGTCTATTAGTGAATACTTGCCCTAGCAAGCTCTGTCATGCACTCAAATGAGATATAAGCTATCCAATCTTTAAGTTTACTAACATCCTATTATGCAAACAGTTTCAATTAAGTACTTGTACCTAATGTGAAAAATCTGTCATCTTCCACAGCACCACACAAAGTTCTGGTGTTAAACTAACATTTAATCCACATCAATAGCTAGTTAGTTGAAATACTTACGTAATATATTCTAAAGTCTACAGAAACACCACATGCACAAAAAAAAAAACCATACAAAGAACAGGAAGATCATTTTTTCCGTTCTTTACTACTTATCCCCAAACCACTCCCAGTAAAGGCACAAAGCCAGAACCAACACAAGAGGCCTCTGCAGGCAACTGCTGCTGCTCTATTTCTAGGAAAACAGTGTAAGAATATCTCCTTAAGACTCCTATCGATAAAAGATCCCCAGTATCTGCTTAGTGTCCTAGGTTCACATGCAGAAAAAAATGAGAACTTAAATTTAGTGTAGCAGAACTTTGCTGTACGTCTTGGCTGCAAGTGCCAGCTAGAGTCACTTGCCTATTCCAAGGCAGTACAGAGGTTCATCTCACAGTCAGCTGTTAATGGCACTCAGTAGAGATGGCATTTCTTAAATTAAATAGGTAATTATTGTTCAAAGATTATACTCAAAGTATTTGACAGTACTTTTACTTTGGATAAACAAAACCTTTAGATAAATAGGTCTTTTAAAAGGTAGTGTAACTACACAGCTTACCACAATGCTTCAATAATGGACTACAGATCAGAAACTTATCCCCACTTGATTATTACAGTATCTCTTTTATCAGCAAATGAAGCAGTGTTCGGCAATGAAATGCTATTGGTAATTCTTTAAACAAAGATGCAAATATATTTGTTATCCCCTCGTTGTTGTAAACAGAAGCATTTAAGAAAAAGTGTTATAATAAATCTATATCCTAAGCTATCTAATATTACTTCTACTAGTATACTAAACAAACTGCTTTGTGTGATTTATATACATTGATGAATCCAGACTCAAAACTGGAGTCTACCACGTTTTGTTTCAAGTAATCCTTGAGAAGTTAGATAAAACTCCATTTTCATTGCTGCTTTTAGGGCATATTCCAGGTACTTGTATAACCATTATCAGTGATCTAGAAATCTGCAAAAGATGATTATTTTGATGATATGGCATTCATGGTATCAAAAATAAGATTGAGCACTGAGCTTTCTACATAAAAATTGAACTTGAGGTATTAATACACCACTTTAAAACGGAGATTAAATCTTACCCATTGCATGTTGTCTGCAACTGTTCAGCACTTGTTATATGCTTATCATTCCTACGGTGTTATTTGGAAGATATGCTGTTGCATAATGTACAAATAAAAAGTTATTAGCCATAAAATTTGAATACTGCCAAACTCCTGTCTTAAGCTCAGTACAAAAGACTAAAGTAATTGACTTGCACTGAGACCTAGAAAATGAAGCAGCAGGTCCTGCAGACCGCACAGAACCCATGCCACTCCACACCATGCTCTGTACAGAGGTTGCCAAAGTGAGTGCAGTCCATCTACGCAAGCTGCAGCACAGACACCTCAAAGTCAACTTCCTTCCCTCTGTTCTCGACAGTGAATCTTACAGCAATGAGCTTAAAAATGGGTTTTGTTGAGACTAAAGGCAATTTCTGGACATGTTAACAAAGTACATTTTATCAGTCAAAAGTGTCTGGGATGTGTAAAACACTATCTGGACTCACACCATCTGTTCAAATGGTCATTGTGAACTCTAGATATCCTTTAGGGTAAACCAAAAAGCTACCAATAAACGCAACCCAGGGGCAGCACAGGGCTGGGGCACCAGTGTCACAGTTTGAAATTCAGCAGGCAAGTCCTCTCATTGAAGCATACTTGAGTGAGTTTTCGATTTGCTTTTGATAACTGAAAGGGAGCAAAATGATTTTCAGTAACTTTTATCTTTTCAGAACAAGAAGAGATTATTGTTAATCTGAAAATCGTTATTTGCATTCAGTATAGAACAAAAATGATTCTGAATTCATACACAAATACTTTGATTTCTCAAGTGGTTAACTTGTTAGTTTTCTACTGTTGATGTCAGAGAAGGGAACCTAGTTCTCTGGGGAAGCATCAGCAACACTAAATACACAACAATTTCCTTTCAGGATAAAATTTAAAATAGTAAACATGGTCTAAAATCATGCACTATGTCATTTACCTATTGTATTTTGACAAGATAACTTCACATTTTCACGTGGCCTTTGTAAAATGTCTGGCTAGTGTGTCTGAATCTACCTAGCGTTATATGAGTAATTTCTTAGCAAACACATGCACTCATGAAAGCCAGTGAGAAAATGAACACATTTGCTACAGGGCATGTTTCAAACATGTCTGCTTTGCAAGACCATCAGTTTGACAGCCTGCTGTAGAACAAAACAGGCCAAAATGAAAGCTTGGCATGCCAGCACACTTTAATTCTGTATTTGTGAAATGTTCTTTCAAACTTAGGCGCCCTTTTCACTACTTTAAAAGGAAAACCCACACGTACACACAAAATTCTAACAATTCTAACACCATTATTAGTTCTTTACCAACTACCTGCTAGCATATACCTTGGTTTAATGGTTTAAAGTTATTAAAACCCTTAAGATTGCGCATATGCCAGGCATCACTGCAGAAATAAAGACACTCATCGCTATTCTTCTTAAATTTTATTCCACAATAAAAAATAGAAGATGAAAGAAATAGAGTGTTCCAAGAATTAAAGCAATTACTGGTCAATGTAAGGAGCATTAAACTAATTATCTGAACGATGATTAAGGACCTGGTTCACCAAAAGTAATTCTGGGCCCTCTACAGTGTGTTTGTAGGCTTCTACCAGCAGCAATGCAGAATATCTTTTACTGAAGCAGGTCCATTATTGTCTACAGAACACCTCATTTCATATTCTATTTCTCCTTCTCTTTTTGTTCTTTTTCCTTCTTTTCACGTTCAGCTTTTGCTTCCTCCTCCTCATGTTGTTTTATCAACTGTTCCACCTCCTTTTGCTTCAGAACCCTTATTAATGTCTTTCCGTTCTCTCTTGTCAGTGTTGCAATTTCAACTGAAACATATGGAACAGACAGCAGCGTTAAATTTTGTCCTTCGGACAGAGCAATCATCAGGAGGGCAAGATTTGTGGTTACAACTGACAGTGAAGCAGAAGGTTCTTCTCCTGCCTCTACAAAGCAGCCTGCCTGGCAAGCCAGGGTAAGGCTGAGAGCTGCTGCATCTCCTAGAAACATTTTTCACATGACAACTAAAGAATCCAATAAAGCACATCACGTGTCTGTGTGTTCACTGTGTTTTCTGGTTTTAAGCAAATGGTGTTAGCCCATATTAGCAAACTACTTACCTTTCTCTGCAGAGAGTTTGCTAACATCCATGGTTTTGTTTAGAACCTTAATGGCTAATGCAAGTGCAGTCTTTAAGGTCATCTCTCCTTCTTTGTAGTCTTGCTTCAGCATTGACACAGCTGCCTATGTCACAGAAATCAGAACAGTATCTTTAAGCGATCAATGGTTACTTTTTACCAGATAGTATCAGTACATGAGTTCTACAGTTATCTATTTCTGCTCTGTGAGAGTAATCAGCAGCTCAGTTTAATTAGCAGAGAGCAATTTACTTTTTGCTTGATTTTTTGAGAGGAAAACCAAAAACCCAGAACAGAACTTACAGCACTGTTATTCCCAATGCACGTAGCCTTCCACCCTCCATAATTTCCACTAGGATCACTTTGATACAGTTGAAATCCATAATGCTTATCCCAGCCAATATACAGCAATGAAACACCAAAAGGACGTTTTCCTGTTGAAAAGAAGGCTATTAACAATCTATATTTAGGTACCAGATTGGTCACGAGTAACAATTATTTTCTTGGATGTCTTTTTCAAATCTATTCCTGTGCAGTAGGATTTAACAGACTGTTCTGCACTTCTGCTGCTCGAGATAAGCACACCAGCGTGTCCTTCTAAGTCATGGGCTGGGGGTGGGCAGCAGAGATTTATCTTGTTTAATCCTAAGAGCAGCTCATTTCTGTTTCCACAAACTGTAATTTATCATCTCAGGACTTTAAATCAGAACTTAATATTTAAAGCATGCAATTTAGCTGTTAAAGCATACAACTTAACAGTGTCAAAAGCCAGATACATAAAAAGGTCGTTCTTTCACACTACATACATGTAAAATACCAGAATCACCAGCTTACATAGTAGGGAACTCTACTTAGGACATAACTTTCTAACATGTTACTTGATTCACCAAAACGGTATTTTTTTTAAGCATTACACTATTGCTACCCCTATGTTTAGTCTTATTTGTGATTCATTGTGCTGGATAGGCCCAAAATGCTGAAAGGTTACATAGCAAACAATTTTCTGCTGGTCTTTTGAAGGCACTCACTAAACCCAAGAGCACTCAAAGCACTCTGTGCAGCGGGCCAGAATCCCAGCCATCATTTATCACTCACTAAAATATAGCACCTTCACCACTGAAACAGTAACTGCGACCACCCACTCCCCTCTTAAATTTGGCTATTGTTTTTCTTGGTATGACTCATCACAGAAGGATGTGGTAGGACTGCCATGAGACTCAGATGCTTCAAATCATCTAAGAGAAACATTCCATAGACATTTAAAAGCACAACGGTTCATCAGACCTCACCTCCAAACTGTGTGTAAGCCTGCTTGATATCACACAGGGCTGTGACCAGCTGCTCACAAGGAATGGGCTCTTGATACTGCAACAAGTACCTACCATGAAAGAGAAAAAGTCATTTTTCAAAGCTTGTTTTGCTGGCAGTATCCAGTATGGCATGTAACAAGAAACAAGTTCTTAAGTTAGAGCCTCTTTGATCTAGCTGTTGCATTTCAAACGATCTAATTCTGCTCTACTAAACAAGTGTTCATTTTCATTTAACACATAAACAGAGTATCTGGCAGCACAATGAGGTAAAGCCATGTTAAGTATTAGCAGACCTACCTCTGAGCAATCAGTCTCAGTTCATTTGTTAGAACATTGGCATCTGAAGTGATTCCGGCAACACTGCAAGCCATATCCCTGCAATAAAAGCATATAAACTAACTGAATTCCTGTCAATCTCCAACAAAGATTGCTCACATCATCATACAGCGGTTCAAGCAGAACACCTACTGTTGGGCTTCTCTGATCAAAACTAGACAGCTGCCACAGAAAATATGTTTATCAGCTCCTGCCTTTAGGGTACACCACAAATATCACCTAACCACTTCAGAAGAGCAGAGGTGGGCAGCAAAAAAGCAAGCGAGTCCGTATGTTAGACATAGAGTTGTGAGAAGCGGCTCATGCCGAAGGTGGTGAAGTCCCAAGTATCTTTACAAGAGCCATTTGCTGTACACAGTTGCCCTTCAGGAGGCACCTGACTTAGCACTCTGCAATGCCAAGAGAGCCATAGAGATGGGACAGGCCTTCAGCGGAGGGTGCTGGCTGACACATGGTGTTTCTGCACCTGAAACCTGGTGATCTTCATTTGATCTTACGGAAAATAAGCACTTCACATCCTTGTTTCATTAGCTCTTAATTTAAGATCTCTTTTGCCTAATCTGAAATTCACTATGCAGAAAGGATGCAAACAAAGTAATCCAGGTTATTTTTTTCCAAGTTCTTTTTCAAGATGGCAGGTCTAGCCTAGGGGACTATTCCAGCCTGCCCTCCTCGAAAATTCAGTACTTCCCACAGTTCTAGCTGCTTCCAAGAGCAACACAGAATGGGAGACTAACAGGATGAAAAGCTCTTTGTGTTTCATATGCACCTTCTGGCGAGGATGGAGATCTACCTCCCTTACAGGTGAGCATAATCCCTAATACTCTTTGCTCTGACACAGCAAATTTCCAGAGAGCTAAAATGGAAGTCATAACAGGGAGACGTATCACCTCTGCTGCAATTATGGCAAAGAAACCTACAGCATGTTTAACCTAGTTACCTTGTTCTCTATGAATCACAAAAGAGAAAACAAAGACTTAAAGAAGATGCTGAACTGAAACAGCCTGGTAATTTTGGTGTGCATTCTTTATTCGTCCCCTGCTCCCAATGATATTTTGTCAAACTGACAGTTCCCAATTTTCTTAACTGCTATGGTAACATTACCTTGCATGGAGTAACAACGAACAGGCTTTTCCACCTGGAATATTCTCCTAAGGGTTAAAAAACCTAAAGGAAACACTTTTATTTTAGAAGAACTACCGAAGCAAACAATGACAACAGAGTCATACCTGCCTGAAGCAATGCACCAAAAGAACACTAACACTCCAAATAAACCAAAACCAGGGCCAGTGCTAAAACAGCTGAGCACCAGCAGTGCTCTGTTAGTGGTTATGTCACTGCACAGCCCATCATCATTTCAACTTACTCATTCAGCTTATATATTTTCTCGGAGAAGAACACTTCATCAAGAAGCTTGTGAATGTTGCGTCTCTCTGCTGCTAGCAGAACGCCGTCGTTTGCCAGAATTCCCAAGCAAGTGCCTGCATGTCCAATGGCTTCCATTGCATACTCAACCTGGTACAACCGACCTAGGAAAGGATTTCAATAAGTAACACCAAAAGTAACACTGAACAAGACCAAGTACGCAAAGCGACTTCAGTTTGCAAGAGTCTGACAAATGCTCATCGTACAACCTGGTCTGTCTTCTCCACTCCATTAGCAGTTAATAGTGACTTAACTGATTGTAAAGGAGGAAGAAGTCAGAGAAAGAAAATCAACAAATCTGGTAAGGGTTAGTGCATCACTAATGTGGAAATCAGAACTCTGCTGCAGTAGAGCCAAAAGGGATTGTCAATAATGAAAATACGTGACACTAGACTTTTCACGTCTAACCCATCTAAGGAATAGAAAAGTACGGGCTGTAAGTACTTGTTTCAGCATGTATAAGAGTAACAAGGAGAGGTGTGATCACGTCAGCAGAACATTGTGTGTTCTGGGGGGTGCAGCAACAAACTCCACCATAGTCTAAAAAAAGATGGATGGTGAAGATTGCTCAAGTTATCCCAAAAGTGGGGCAGATGGTAACACCCACTGATGGGGCACAGTGCTGTTACTGTCTGAATTAGAGCGAGTCTGAAGGGCTGCCACTTTAGACCCGCGGTGTCCTTACTTCTAGCAGGTAAATGTGATTTCATAAGCCACATATAGCTGGAAACAGGCTACAACGAACAAGCTCTTATTCAGTTCTCAGAAGCTGGACAGAACAATCAGCGTTTACTTGAAAGCGTGGCGTTAAAAAATACCTTCAGGAGAGAATATGGTGGTTCTGGAGTCGTATCTTCGAGACTGCAAAAAGCAAAGCTCGTTAAATGTCAGCGTTCTCTCCTCAGAGGCAGCATCCTACGGGTAGCGAT